TATAAACTGCGATGTATTTGGGCCGAGAGAGGGGCGGGTTACGAATTACGGAAATGAGCATATTCATCACTCGTTGTTGTATCCTTTTACACAATCAATTCACTTACCGTGGAGTTTATCTTCTACTTCTAAATTTAGTAATTATTGTATGCTTGCACACGTTTGTTCACCAAAAGTGATTAATCCCATGTGCTATATATGTGCCTGTTTGTTTTAAGTCAGCGACTAAGAAGAAAATTAGACGAAATGTTAACATCTCGCGACATTTGTCTTCCTTCAGTTTGGATGAACTACTCAATAACATTACACCAGTACCAACCCCGACCCTTATCCAAAGACACCGTACACATAAACAGCCTGCGTCATCTGTCGCCTGACATTTGTTGATGACGAATCACGGTCTGAACCCGCAAGCCGAATTAAGATCCATTATGCTAACTCTAACCCCCGTTGCTTAATTTTGCGGCGTCGGTTTCAATCAGGAAGTGGAAACCTGGTCTGTTTATGCGAAAAGAACTGTCAGTCACAGTATCTCTACCTTGGGAGTGGTAAAAGTATGATGATTGTGCCCTGTCATTTTCATGTGCAACTTAATGTACTGTCCAACGATATATGCTGTAGTATTGTACTGTCGTATTGTACCATTGGAGATGCAGCGAGACCCGCAAACCCAGCTTTGTTTTGCTCTCCCAATCTCTCTCTCTTTCTTCAACATTTGAGGCGTCAAGATCAACACGAGCGTCAGATTGAGAATATAATTTCAAATAGCATCTAGTGGGTTGAGTAAAGGAGAAATGGGTCTACGCTATAGACTCGGCGAGGAATTTAGTTTAACTGATAGCGCGTTCACCTAAGCCCATGGTCACCCTTAAAATGCATGGATACTCTGAATCAGTTTTTTCCACCACCTTGGATCGGTTGGGAAAATTTCACTTCCGAGAGTTTGATACGTATTTATTTAACGAATTACAAACTTATTTTAAGTGATTAATGGAGGATTTGGTTCCATTTCAAATGAGAATTCGTCGTGTATATAGCAAATGAAACGTGAACTGAAAAGCTAGGAAGCACTGGACAGCTGTATCGACCTGGTTGGGTCTCATCAACATTAAGCGAATCCATCGACCCAACTGGGGATCTAACCCGGGACCTCCCAAGCAGAATGCAAGTGTACTACCCCATCGGTCACCGAGCGGCTGATCAGACCATTTTTCATTTTCCATTTACACGATATATAGCACAACCCATCTTTGCGAGCTTGTTGCGGGCCACAGACCTCGCTTTCTGCCTGTGAGATCCCGGGTTCGATCCTCAGTTAGGTTGATAGATTCGCACTGATGATGAGACCCAACCATGTCGAAACAGCTGTTCAGTACTTCCTGGCTTTTCAGTTCACTTTTCATTTGCTATGCACACGATGAATTCACCTTTGAAATTATAAACCGTTGTTTGGCTGGTAATGGGAGACAACATTTGGAAATTGTAATTGTGATAAAAGAAAACAGTAGCTGCGGGAGTATCCGAAACCACCCATTCACATCCTCTATGCTTTTACATTGTGTATACTCTATCAGTGGAGCAGTGGTTTAGTCACTGTCATTGGCGTGCTTTGAACTCTGTGGTCCGAGGTTCGAGCCCCGCCACCCGACTTTGATGGTAAGCAGCTTTGCTGTCG